AAATACTAATTTTATGCTGACCCTGTCCTGTTACGAATACGATTTGAGAGACGAAGAAAATGCAATGCGAATATTTGCAGGCTTCTCCTACTTAGCTTCACGAACTTCGTATGGAAATCGTATACCTCTTGCATAATATGACAAGGATATTAACAATTTCATGAGGAAAAAACATCGACAAAATAGTTAATATTTGTGGATGCGTGAAAAATGCTATTGAACGAAACACAAATTCTTTAAGAGGATTTTTAACAGCTGTTTTTAGAGAGAAAAATAACCGCAAGTAAGGAAAGTTTATCTCATCGCGTGATTGTTAAACTTACCCTCGTTTTTTCCCGGAGCGATATGCTAATTGTGTTTTGAAACAACGTTGAAATGTTTAATACAACGAACATAACAACCGCTCTAGTAAATTCATGTTGACCACTTCCTCGTCCTGTTATCAGTTTTACTAATGCACTCCGTTCCCGGAAAGTCCGCCTAAACATCTTTGGGAGCTTGAGTTTATTTTCTTTTAAGAAACGCGGACTAATATCAACTCATTGATTACTTTTTTGGAGAAACTATATCAGCAAGCCTGACAGAGACTGTCGGTACGAAAACAAACACAAAAATGATCAAATCGGTTTTCTATCAAAAGGAATTTTTTGACGGTCGATTTCCACACCGCTTACCGACCCTCGTAGAATTTTCACCTGCACGCAAGGAATTATATTATCTGTCTGAGAGCATGTTAGTTACGTTAATTCCTTTCGAAAGCGCTATTTCCTTCTTAACGTTCCTAGTCCTTAAGTTCTTCCGATAAAGAAAAACCATGTTTCGTTGTGCGCGAATATTTTTGGACGATTTAAAGCCGAAATATGATATCTTTCTACCAGTACGTCAAATTTCTTTAATTTTTCTGCGTAAGGCTATAATGGTCGTAATATTATATTTTCCAAACGTCGTGGAGACGAATTTGAGAAAGTGCTAAATTTTAAAAGCCCACTTTTTACTTAGAACTGAAGCTAAAATCTGCTAAAGTCAAAACTATATGTCAAGTTTCTTTTATTCGTCTGAGGTAGTTCTCTGCAAACCGGCCTGTTCATTCTGAATATATAAATTGCCCTTGCGGCAATGCAATTGTCATTATTTAATAGAAAATGTCAGGAAGTTTATTTTGAACTTCAGACATTTGGATGAACAGAAATCGTCGCTGAAAATCAATAATCACGCAAACATTTTCTCTCACTGTTCACAAACGTGTCTGTCACTGCATGCTGAAGAACGCAATCTAAAGAGGGAGAGGCAGCTCGGTGAATGAAAGATCTTATGGTTTAAAACACTTCTCTAAAATGAAGCGGTTTCAAAATGTGACAACATTTAGTTTTCTGACGCGTAAGACCCAATGCATAATTCATGTGAGCAAACACATGGCAGAGGAACAGACCGCTACTTGTGGGCGTACTTTAAAAGTTAGTAATAAATTTGTTATGTACTGAAAAACTTTTGTATTATTCGACACTTAAAAGATCTAATGATATTACTTTGGAGGACTTCCTGTTCTCAATGTCTCGGAAAAATTGAATCCGTAGAGTTCTGACTCCTTATGACGCCCCCATTCAGATGGTTGATAGTTAAACATGCTGCTTAAAAACAGGCACAAACTTGGCGTCATTATTATGCATGTCACGATCTTCGGAAGTGTTTGTTTGCCAACTTTCCTCAATTTTCCGTTATGCGTCTTTCTCATTAATGACTAAAACGGCGTCATTGGAAACGTTTACTGCAATGTTCCCGAAATTGTGCGACTCAAATAATTATAAACCAGAAATCCATTAAAAAAACTCTGCTTTTTGAAGTAACCGTCATCTTTTTTTTTCTGACAATGCGTGACTTTTTCCAATAGGCATAAATAATACATTTCTATTCGAAATCCTACAACAAGTGTTGTCTGCCAAACAGGAAGAAGAATCATTTGCCTCAAGAAAGGTGTCAGTTATCACCGAACCAAAAAGTCTTAGAGAAACTGCACACTTTTTTTCGCGCTTATAACATACATGTAAGCATCAGCTTCAATTTGTAAGGTACGTGAAGAATTATCTTAATACCAGAATCGATCTAAAATGCTTTGTTCTATTTCAAGACATTTCTAACCTTTTGATTCATTTTATAAAATACACTTGAGACCTTCGAAAGCATAAAGACTAAATTTGTTTTTCTTCTGCACAACATACTCTTACCGAGCAATCGCTAACAGTGAGAGGCTGGTGTCGCTTCTGAAACTCTTCAAGAAAAATGTATGAAATGATTGACGAAACCCACAGGTGTTAGATTTCCAAGGAAAGAGAAAAGCGTCAAGCCACTGTTATCTTCTTCAGTTTCAAAATCTCCCTCCTCGACAATTTTATTTCCGTCTCTCCGTGATGGCTAGATTGTTTGTTGTTGGAGACTTTTTTTTTAATTCCGAACGTAATTTTCATGACCGTGTCAAGCCCTGGTTAGAACGTAAACTATGTCGTCGAAAGACTTAACTGATGGAAAATGTTATTTCAAGTTTCGGCAGGTGATGCTCTGTCGGGTTTGGATTTCAAATAACAATAGCAAGATTCGTTATTCCCAGTTATATGATGAAAAGAGCAACTAGGAAACAGATATTTATATCAATGATAATTGATAACAGGGAATCATGAATAAGAAAGGCGATGAAAGTGAAGACAGTTTGTTGATTATGTCAATGATCCTTGTTATCACCATGAAATTTTTATAACATGTGCTTAAGAGGTGACTATAAATTGGGCATCCTGTTGATGAGGTCGAATGATCCGAAGCTTAGTGCCCGCAATGCATGCATGGTAGCGCTCCTGAGACGCAGCATGATATATTAAAAGACCTATAAAATAAACTGTGGAATAAAGCGACCCAATTCGATACAATCGCTGCCAAAATTTTTTTAGGCGGGAAAATATAACGTCAAGTTTCTCATAGAACCGAAGTAGAGCTCAACTAACATTTCCCAGGAGGGACTTAAAGTATTTGATCTTTCAGGAAAGCGTAAACATTGTGCGTTTGTCATCTGTTTTCGCGAAAACTGTAACTGATAATCTATTTGTTATATTCTACGCCTTATCAAAAGTTGCTGTGTTTATGCTTTACCAGATTCTTTACATGCAAGCTAAAAATAACAACAGGTTCTGTCCAACAAATATTCCTACTAGGAAATAATTTACCCGTAGTTCGTTGACAGATTTTATTGTCTGACTTTGAGATGTCTAAAATTCCGTACGAGAACACAGTAAACTGTTCCAGAGCGTCTTGCACTTTAAATGATGTAATCCAAAGTATCCGCAATGCATGCAAGGCAGTGCTCCCATGATGCAACACGGAACGATTAACAACCCATGGTAACCCAGAATTTCAATCGCCACCTTTTAATTTCAAGAAATAATATTCTTTCTTTTCCCAAATTATTTACATGCCCGCATGAAAAGGAAGAGGTTTTAAATAGCATATTCAGTGAAAGGAAATCTAGCTGAGTTTTAAAAAGCGCAAACTGACGCACGTACTTAATCTTCTTGGATGCCATTGGATTTGGTGTAGTTTTACTTTAGATAAAAACAGTACGATTGCGTTAACACTAATGCTTGAGTGGTTTTCTTCCTTTGAGTAATATGCATGTGTGGGAAGATCCGCTTCTTTTGTGTCACCGAAAGAAACGACATTTTAAGAGGTAGATATACCGGCGCTTTAAGGCATAAAGTTGAGGACTTCGTTTGTAACTTTATATCACCATGAATGCCCGATTACTACCGCCTCTATAGTTACAATGCTGCATTAAAAGGCAGTGAAACAGTTTCTGGAGATAAGCAGCTGCTTCAGGGAGTCAATTATCTCATGTGCAGTATTTATTTTTGGAAAAATGTTTTCAGTATACAAAAGCCATTTTATTTTGTGACTCCTTATATCGATTCTATCTCCCAAAAAAATTTAAAAGATTTGTTTACTCGTGGAGAATTTCCGAGAAAAAGGAAAGGCCGCTGTAAAGTGAAACTCAAGTGAATTAGAATCCCCTTTTATGGTGGAAGATGATTTGCCTGATTGGCTTGACGTGTAAAATACCGCAATAATAATTAAAATGATGCATCTTTTCCAATCTTTTGAACAACCGCACAATAATAATCTACAACAAGTTACACTCACCATGATCCTTAAGCTTGAGCTTTAAAAATTGCGTGCATTGCAGAAAGAGCGGCCATTTACATGTGCGAGAGTGCAATGTGTCCCCGTGAATACAAAAAATAAGTGGATATAAGGAAACAGGAGGGACATTTTCGCTTGCTTTTATTTTTTTGTCAACGAATGACCTTTATGTGTAAGGTAAGTAGTGAACGAATAAGAAGACTGTGCGATTCCATATTTTGCAACGTGAAACTTATCTGCTCGTCAATTACGACAGCAACACTAGTGTAATTTCCTTTCGCGTATTATCCGAACTGTCAGCCACAAATTAAAACATGAACTGTATCGTTTTCCTTTTTTTTCCAGTATTTTATTCAAATTAATTCCAGATGTACCGTAGATATTGACACAATATCAGATGCTGTTATTGTTTCTTCTCATTCGACAAAAAATCCTTCCGAGTAATTATTGCATGTTTAAAATGGAACAGGGGATACATTTATTCGTAGTACATGACAATCAAACCTGTGCAAAATAGCACTGAACTCTTCAATTTTTCTCGATAAAACGAAAGATTTTCCAAGAAAATTCTGTTCACATGAGTAGCATATGGTCATTTTGTCTCTTTGTTTGATCTGGCTCAGCAGGAAACAGCGTGGCTTCCGTAATCAAAAGCAAGGTGATGCAAGTTAAACAAACACGTGTTTCATTATTGGACAAACTCCTTTAAAAGGCGCTTCTTTTCTTATAATTGCCAAGATATACCGTTAAAAAGGTCCCCATTCTAAGATCCTTTAAAAGTGTTCTCTTTTACTCCTTCCAGGATTGCAGCAGCAGGAAACATGAAATTTATAATCACAAGATGGTCCTTTGTACTTTCCTTTTCTGCTCCATTTGTCATGATCATATATGAGCTAAATGCTGAAAACTTATCAAATAAAACAGGACAGAGAACGACATTATATGTTGGTTCAATGGCGCCTATGACTGGCAAGAGAGCATGGTGGGGAGCTGGAATACCGCTGGCCATCGAGATGGCTTTTGAAGATATCAACAAAAGAGATGATATTCTAAGAGACTATGAGTTAAAATTGATCTCTCGAGACACGCAGGTATTGAATTTATCTAGGAGACTGAATTTCCCTTGAGATCTTTTCTTAACTCACTCAGTTTATCTGTATGTCCGCCAACATTTCGGGAATCACCGGAAGTCAGCTAGCAAAGAGGTGAACTGTTACATTTTGTGAAAACACAAAAAACGCACGATGTTCACGCTTTCCTGAGAGATCAAATATTTCAAGTCTAAAGACGATACATTTTCCCGTCTTAAAAGATTCGGGCGGTGATTGGATCGGATTGGTTCGCCTTATTTCATAGCTCATTTCATAGGTCTTTTAATACAACAAACTATGATCCTTCGGTTCTAAACTACTTGTCGACTGAGCAGGATGCACGTAGAAAAATGACGAGGAAATAAAGATCCTCTTTCTCTTATTCTTCATATTTCATTTTTCCGTAGGGAGACACTGGTCGCGGGAACAAAGTTTTCTACGATTTCTTAAACGAAGGAAAAGTCCGTCTGATACTTGGTCCTTCGCGGTCAAATGTTGCTGAGTCGGCTGGTGCGACAGCTAAGTACTACAACATGATTCAGGTCAGTAACAGAGAAGTAAACAACAAGACAAAGTAACAGTGGGCTATTGACAGATTCGAAATTAACACTATCAGCTCATTCGATGAAACCAAATTATCTTGTAATACGATGCAGCACCACCATAGATTAATCTAGTTTAGTAACAAAAGTACACAAATAAGGAGACACAGAACCGGGGGGCAGTCAAGGTGTTGGCTTGGCATCACACAGACTTAACTGAGGTTTTTTCCCAGCAAGATGTGTCAAATCCCTACTTTTTCATATTTGTCTTCGTCGATTACAAAATCTATCTCTATCATGTCCGCCTCTGCTTCACTTTCGCCGGTTTTCACTGGCAACATCAGATCGAGGTCAGTCGTTATGTCTTGGAAATGGGCGTTCGTTCGTTCGTTCGAGAAGGAAGCCATTGATTCGTTCTTGTTAGAAGCCCCTGGTTTGTCTTTTCCTTGTGTCAATAACTAAAATATCGTTATGAAAAACAATTTAAGGAAATTATCATTTTGTTGTTTTATTTTTACTCAAAGGTGTCTCCTTCTGCAGCTTCAGGCGAACTATCCAAGAAAGACGTATTCCCTTATTTCTTCAGAACGGTTCCAGCATTGTCTGCCGCAAATCGTACGTTTATTGCTATCGCAAAAACATTTGCGTGGACTCGAGTGGCCATACTGTACCAGAGTAGAGAACTTTTTACATCCGTAAGTATTCTTTTCTGTCTTTAATCGACAACTTTCACTTCTTCAGGCTTGAAGAGGTCTGAGGCTTGAGTGCTCATGCAAATCAGGGAACATTTTCCGATCCGATCTCCGTAGCTAAAACCGGGTCTTTTGGCCTTCTGCAACGAAGATATAAAAAATTCTCAGAAGAAGAAAGAGTAGTGTGGATGGATATCAGAAACTTTGTCAGCCATACTAAAAACTTCGAACGGCACTAATATCGTCTCTGTTGAAAATTTCATAGGCAGCATCAAGCCTCAGGGAAGAATGCAAAAAGAATGGAATTGAAGTGATCTCTTATGGAAGCTTTTTGATGGATCCAAAGAATCAAATAGAACATCTTAAGGTACTGTTAGAAAACCAAACGATTTTTCCTGAATTTGTAAGATAAGCTTCGCAAGGAAATAATACTTGTAGTAATCATGATAAGAAACATAAACATAACTTTTAAAAAGGGAGCTTTGACCTCGTTAGCACAATTTTAGATTTAGAATATTCGTATTTATTTGATTCTTACCGTCAAACCCACCATGCTTTGCAGATTTTCGTATCATTATCACCGGACATCCGAATCATCATCTTTTTTTTCATTCAAAACAATGGTATTCATCAAATTCTTCTTGGAAATCGAGCTTTCAACTAAATCTATATACTCGATAGTCGAGTACAGGTGAAAAGAATTTCAAGTTAAGAAATCAATCTCATCGGTGGGCCACTAAGCAACGGGTACTGAACCTCTACCAAACGCTTATATGTTTTTGGCCATGTTTTTACCCGTGGTATCCACTCCTTAAATTCCACACAGGATATTGATGCTAGGATCATATTTGGTTTCTTTTCCTATTCAACCAGAACTATGTGCGAGGTAAGGAATGCATTTCGAACCAAATTTCCATTCATGCTAATTCACCATCATCTTAACTAATTATGGCAGACCTCGCAGCGCGCGCAGCAAAGCCCCATATCAATAAGTGTCCCACAAAACTCACAATCTTTTACACTTGTTTTAGAAACTCTTTAAAAAAGTATACGTGTCTTTTTATTGGAACAAAATTGGTAGAGAAAGTTGAGGAGGAAATATCGGAGATGATTGGAAAAAAATCCCTGGGGCTAAGAGGGGGGATGAAGATGCTAGGGAGATCCGATATCCGTCGCTCTGACGTCATTTTCGTTTATACAGAATGTATTTGCATTTCACTTCTCTTTTAAAGTTTTAAAGTCTTAACCAGAACGCTGTCTCAGAAAATTGCGTTTTGCTGAGATGGCAAGGTCTGAATCTCAGAAAGGTTTTGAAAAAAACTTTCTCTAAGTTAAAAAGACAAAACAAAACAACAGCAACAACAAGAAACACAAAAAGTGACAAACGTCGTCCCTTGTCGATTATTTATATAATTACCAACATACCGACAAAGGGCGACCTAAGACTATTACGTTACGATCAGAAATTCGCAATTCATATATTTCGATCAGATAACAACTGTTTTTTTCCAATCTACGACTCCACGTCTTACTTTTTCGCATTTATATATTCGGTCCGTAAGTTTTTTTTGGCAGCAGGCCGAATCCTTTAATTCCTTAAGCCATAATCCCAATCAATCAGTCAATCCAAAAGAGTGATTTTTTCACTATCAGATCTACAAGCATAATATGCATGGGCGAAAGTACGCTTGGGTTGTTCACACTCCTGACAAAGATGGATGGTGGAGGAGAACTTTCGCTAATGTCAACTGCACACCAGAAGAAGTCAACGAGGGCGCAAAAGGGACCCTCTTAGTTAACTATATGTGGCTCAGCAGCTCAAAGAATCAAACAGTGTCTGGAATGGTTGGTAGATATATAGCCATTTTGATGTATAGAGAATAATACATGGGCGCGCGTAGATATGGAATTCTCTTCGAGTGTTCAACTCGATAGCTCATCGGCGAGTAAGCGCAGTGAACGAGTGCCATGTCAAGTTGAACACGAGAGGAGAGATGCCATATCCGCAAGCAACTATGTATTATTTTGTTTAACATTTAAACACAGTATTAAAGTCGAATTTATTAATGAACGATATAATAGGATCGACAGTACCCGGATAAAAACCGACTAGTGCGTTGGCTCAAGATAAAGACATTCGTTGAATCGTTCCAAAAAAAAAAACAATGGCCGTAATTTTTAATATTCAAAATTGTCAGTTATTGACTTTGTCCTTACCGACAGAATAGAACTTTCAGGTGCACAACCAAAATCGGCCTGTGGCAAATGCTCCAGTTGCCAAAGCCACTGAATACGTAACTTTCGGCTTTTCTGGTCGAACTTCGGTTTTCTTTCCCAGAAGGGGAAGGTCACTGTCTGTAAGCGATACGGATGTTTCAGTGTTTTCGCAACCATAATCCGAAAAAATTCCGACAAATGACCTTGGATTGAGAATGGCGAAAGCTTTGCCGTTCATTCATCAACTAACCGAGGGGCGCGAAAGGCGAGTGAGTAAGAGCGAATAAAAGGTCTAACGCTCAAAACGTCAGCTTTAGTAACTCTACACGGTGGCATATCAGCAGCTGATTTGCGATATCAAACACACGCGAAAAAATATCGTATTTTGTCACGTGCGTTGTTACGGCTTCACTCAGGGCTGGAAATTCTTCTACAACACCGTAGTTTATATGATGAATATCGTTTTCTTTAACAAACGTTTCTCAAAGAGTAACTCGATATCCTGATAATTAAACACCAACCCTGAGAAAAGTCCCAATCGCGCACGTGTAAAATTATGATAATTTTTTACTTGTGTTTGATACCTCTAATCAGCCTTTCTCGCCACTCTATCAAGTTGTTTAATGAACGGCAAAGCGTTCACCACTCCCAAGCCAAAGTCTTTTGCATGCTGAAATTTTCTTATCAGTAAAGAACTATGGTGTTTGTATATATATATATATATAAACAGTACGAGAGCGTGCATAGATTTGAAATTTCTCTTCTTGTGTTTAGATTGATATCTCAACGAACGAGTTCTGTCTGTACGTGTTCCCTTGTGTTCCTCTTTATCTAAATTTGATTTGACCAATTGAAAATTATCATTATCATTATTATCATTCCTACTGTAACTACATATCACTATCATTATTATCCAGCTTCTACGCTCACAATTTCTTGTTTATTATTTCACTTTTCCTTCCGTTTCGATTCCATGATTATCTGTCTCCTCTTTTACAAGCTGGGGCCTATTTTCTCTTCATGATGTACGGTATCATCAGTCACTCAGTATTAATTAGGTGCCTTTCTTTATCAGACACCCGAGGAGTTCAAATCGAGTTTCATTCAAAAGGCTAGGAAATCAGATATAAGAGCGACAAACTACAAAGGGTTTGCATATGATGCAGCCTGGCTTGTCGCCCTTGCGTTGAATAGAACAGCGCAAAATTTGGCTCCAACGATTCCTCTTGACACCGTCGCATTTGGAGACAGAAATTTCTCAGACCTAATGAAGAAAAATCTGTTATCAACGGAATTTCAAGGCGTTACGGTAAGTGTAAGATAAAAACGTTTCTATGAAGATTTCTGATTGGTTGAGTTTGATCCATGAATATCTTTACTAAGATCGTTGATTTGGTTTCTTGTGCCTGCCTCTCCTCGTTAGTTTGTTTTATTTTGTTGTTTTCCCCTCTTTTTAGCTCTTGTTTTGTTTTTTTTCATGAAAATACTTTCTTCCTTCAGACACTTCCATGAAGGTTAGCGAGGCTAACTTTATAAAGCGAAAGAGACAATGGTAATAAGTAACAAGCGGTCCAGCGATTATTGAATTAAATAGTCAGTCTTGTCGGATATAACATAGAAACTACTTAAGAAGCAGCATATCGTCAAATCCAATCACAATAGGTCAAATTACCGCCATCTTTGATAAAGTCTTAGAAGTTTTGAAAAAAAGTGAGCTTAGCGCCACCTTCAAGGTTGTAAAGTCCCAGGAATTCCAAATGTTGCGCTGTGCCACAATGGAGTTTGATTGAGCTGGAATGTGCAGAGCAAGAAAAGTTAGCAGCTTTAATTGTCAACTGATAAAAAGTATTGAGTAGTTTGGAATTATCGTTTTCTGTCCGTAAAAATGACATTCCTAAAGTAGTATAATGTTTCCATTTTAGAGCTTCTTAAAACTAAATGACAAAGGAGACAGGTCCGGCGTGTTTGAAATATCACAGCTAAGAGGTATCTTATGCTTTTCTACATTCACACAGTATGATCGTGTAGGAAAACTGCCCGAGTAATTACAACAGCCAATCGGAAGAAAGGAAAATACTCTAGGGAGCCAATGAGAATTCAAAGTAATAAAAGCAAACTGCCCAAAGCGCGGGAAAACCCAGGCGACGAAGTCGTGATTGGTTTTAGTTTTGCATCTGATTGGTCGAGTAAGTGGTGCGTGATTTCAGGACCAATCACAGAGCAAAGTAAAGCAAAACTAATGCAATCCCGATTACTTTCCCCACTGTTAGTAAAATCATGTAATTTACTCTCGATTTGGTTAGTAATAATTATCTTGGTGTATAGTTGAATTTTTTCGTCAAAATCTTAAACGGAACATTCTAGGCTCGATTGTATCATCAAAACAGGGAAAACGGCTTGAATAATTTCAGTAATTATGATAAGTTAAATTCATTTTGATAAAGTAACAAGGGAAAAGGAAGGGAAGAGAAAAGTTCCCTTTCCAGATGTACATGCCATGTAACAATAATTCCTGTAATCAAAATAGGAGCAGAGTTTGAAGCCATCTGCAGTCACGATGTTGGACGAACCTCCTTGAATTTTTATCCTGATAAAGACTTTCGCTGGGAAGGTAAACTTTAATCGTAAGCCGGTTTTGCTTGCCTTAATTACCTTGCGTTAGAAAACAAAACCCCTTCAAAAGTAATTGTTCCGAAGGCATCAAAATACAGTAAACATGAGGCTAATGTTTTCTGGAGTAGGATTCAACTAATGTATTTGATGATTCTCGCGTTTTCAAATCTTTCGTAGGTATGACTGGCGTTTTCAAATCTCTGTATGAAGAAGATTTTAATTTTCAATTGTAAAAACCACATATTGGATAAGAAAAAAACTGATCTTACTATCACAGATTACCAATGGCAATCTGTGATAAAACTCAGCATCTTATCCTGACAGAGCTAGTCTAAACTTATTAATTAGGATTATTTAAAGAAATTTCAAAACATGTGTCAAGACTTGTAACTATGTTTTTTTGTATTTTTTTTAGCTGTAAATGACATACAATTGATCATGGCATGTGAGCCGAACTTTCAGAAATTTTAGAACAATAGGCCTGAAAAAATTGAGATGAAAGATATGCTTCGAACTCGTACCTCTCAGATTCTAGTCGGGCGCTATTATTAACTGCACTACGAAGCCACAAGCTGACAAATTTTTGTGGTTGTTCGTTCAGACTTTGCATTGTTTTTTTATTATTCTTTTCTCAGGAGGGAGAGCGCCGATGGATCGACAAAGTGAACACAGGCAGCTGTACACAATGTCCATGTCTGTGTTTTTCTTCATGTGTTCTATGGCCTCCTTTGGAATTTTCTTAGCATTTACGTTCTTGTGCTTTAACATTAAGAACAGGAATAAAAGGTAGAACAATCTGTTTGATATTTTAAAAAGTCAAAAAAAGAGCCGGGGCATCAAAGTGTATTGTCACTAGATAATTGTCCATGATCAGTAAAAGAATTCTATTTAAGTCCATTTTTTGATTATACATAAAAAATTTCATAAAAATTGATAATGGAATTAAGTCTGTTCGAGATCCGTCTCTCGTCTTATTGAATATGTGGTGTGAATTTGCTTATTCTGCCATCTAGCAGTTTTTTGGCCATATTTTTTTCCCAATAAGTCAGAGTATTGTAATGTTCGATTATTATTTTCAATGTTAAATTTTTCTCATCTCTACTAGTTTGATAATAAATCATTTGGAAAATAGAATGATACTAATTCATACGTAGATTACCGGATCAAATAACAGATCTATCTTTGTATCGTTTTATCCAAACATTAATTTTGCGACTAGCAACTGCAAAGATTTCTTAACCAATGAATTTTCATGCCCTGTCATGTCATGTCAACTCGATGTCATGCAATCGCATGTTTACGTTATGTCATATACCAGAAGAAAGAAGGTTTTTCGTGTTTCCGCCAGTCAACTATTTCGTTTTCTAATTCTTGTTAGATTTGTCAAAATGTCGAGTCCAAACCTGAACAATATGATAATCTTGGGCTGCATTCTGTCGTACATATCTGTCATTCTGTTTGCATTCGATGGAGAGCATCTTAAGACTGAACTTTGCACGGTAAGTTCCCTTCTGTTCTCCTAGAAAAGATACTTTTAAGTTTGCAACCGCTGATAAGGTTACAGATTGAAGTAGAAACCCTAGAAACCAACATCATGACCCGCTCTCAGTTGGCTTGTTAGCTCAGTTGGTAGAGCGCTGCACCGGTATCGCAGAGGTAATGGGTTCAAATCCCGTACAGGCCTGAATTTTTTTCAGGCCCTATTTCCACTACTGCCTAAGTAGTGCACATTACTGTGAGGATCACTTTCATTCACGTCTTTATCCGCAGTTCAAATATATGACTTTCATATATTCTTAACCAATTGGCCTACTGTTTCTCGAAAATGGGATATCTCCATAGAATAGTAACTTAGCTGAATCAGTCGGCAAAATTTTTTCCTACTCCTGTGACTCATTTATTGTATCTTTTTTCGTTGAATTAGACAAGGACTACTACTATTTGTATTGGCTTCACATTTGTCTTTGGTTCCCTGTTTTCAAAAACGTGGCGCGTTCACAAAGTCACCAGGATAACAAGCGCAAAGAAACTGGTAAGAAATAGAAGTCTTGTCTGTGACAACTCTTTCTCTTATCTCTTTAACTTATGTTTACCTCCCTACAATGTGTTACTTTTCATTTTTTTTACTTCCTCCTTTCAGAGTTCTCCCTCGCTTTTCAAGTTGCTCAGTTCCCTCCTTGAAATTTCAGTTCGTCTCTGTTTTGATTTATTTTTTATTAATTAATTCTCTTTTGGTAAAAATAAAGAAATCTTCAAGCGTGCTGACATACTTTGAAAACGCATTCCTTTAAGGAAATTTTTCATGGGAGACGCCGGGTAACCTTAGCTTGAGTACAGGTTTACGTAGAGGAATTTGTTAGTGCAAAAGTTTTTGGATCTTTCAGATTATCAGAGACCTGCATCTCTTTGGCGTCATTGGCGTTCTCATTCTCATAGACGCTGTCATCCTTCTTCTTTGGAACTTTTTGGATCCTTTTCAGAAGAAAATTAGATATCTCCCAGCACTGGTAAAGAAGTATATACACATTTCTGTTCTTTAAAGAAAAAAGAGTTATTGACAGTGTGTGCGATGACTGACCTAAAGAACATTGTACTTTTGAAAGTTCCTTTTTCCTCTCAAAAAAGGTTTAAAGTCCTCATTCGGGAAAAACGCGAAAGGTTTAACACAGGACTGAAATAGGTTTTGGTTAAGTGACAATGAGTCAAAGCCCTCTCTCCCAATTCAGCAAAACAAAACCCATTTCCTGTATTTTCCCTTTCGTAGATCTGTGCCCGTTGTCAGTCCACTGGTCATCTGTACCCACCGTTTCTCAGGTCCTGTGTACTCGCTGTTCCCTAGGTTCTTGTGCCTCCTCCAAATATTTATAATCTTCCTAATAAGATGAATGTGGTCTGCTTGTTCACAGAACAATCACGAGGATGACAATATTCTTCAATTGCCGTACACATATACGTGTGAAGTCAACCGCATTGAAATCTGGCTGGGCTTGTTGTATTCCTACAAGGGAATATTGCTCCTGTTTGGTTTGTTCTTGGCTTGGGAGACAAGAAATGTTAAGATTCCTGCCTTGAATGACTCTCATCATATAGGTAATTTTTAACTGAAATAACCTCTCCGGTAACTAGAACTATTGGTGATCTTTTTCCTTCTCGCCTTGGGAGTGTGTGCGTTGAAATTCCTTGTATAACTGAGGCCTTTTTGAAGACGGATTATGAAAGGTTGTAAAACTTTCACGAGTTTAGGCCCAACCCAGGTCCTGGTGAACGAACCATTTTCTTTTCGGAAAGTGTCTACGAGCTGATTTCTGAGGGATGGGGAAAGAACGACTGAATACTTCTCAAACTGTAACCCTTGCTCATTTTTTTTTCTTGTCTTTTGTCATTGCTTGGTGTGTTAGGCTCGGGATGTAGAACTCTTCTGTAAATTTATGAAAGGGGTATTCTTTGATCTGAAAAGTAGGATATGAGAATGGAAAGGTTTTTGGTGTCGGGAAGGAGTGTAAACGGCATCTCCGCACACTTCTTCTCGCTTCAAATGTACTACTATGTGTGAAATAATTGTGCTATGGTTATTTCACCCTGTCTTTTCAGGTATGGCCGTTTACAACGTCGTTATCGTTTGCATTGTTGGAACTCCAGTTGTAACTTTTGTACACGAAAAGCAATTCGAGGCGTCGTTTATAATAACAGGCATCTGCATTCTTTTTAGCACAACTTCTACCCTTTGCATTGTGTTCGTACCAAAGGTAGGATTCCCTGAGTGGAGTTATAAACACGAATGCTATTCGTTTAAAAAAAATGTCATCTTTAGACTTTCAAAACGAGCAGGCATGAGTTTTTTCCTTTTGTTATCCATTTTGATCACTATTCTCTTCTACTGAGGTAAACATTAAATTAAATAGATTTGTGTGACTAACTAATTTTCCATCCTTCTGTACAATGCAATTTCGTCTAACTGATCATACAGCTAGTTGGTTAACTTGTAACCCTTCCCAAGTTCTGTTGCAGCATCATGCATCCTTCTTCACGTTAAATTTTTCCTTTTTCTTTTCCCTTTTTTTCGTGCGGTCAACTTTCCCGTTGCAAGCATCTCTGACAAAGGGGGACGGTACAAAATTTAAAATGATTTCGAGAAGGGACATGATGGTTATTAGTGCTATTCTTTAAACCATTTTAATGATTATTTTTCTTAGTACCTCTCTATAATCCACCTCCGAGAGATATTTTCTCGTCCAAAAACAGTAATAATTAATGACGATGATGTTTATGATGACAATGCTGAGAATGATAATGATGATGATTTTCCATTTTCCATCATCTCAAATCCCCTTCTTAACTCTTCAAAAAAGTGACTGATTGACTCTTCTCAGATTGCAGCGCTTAGGAAAAACGGATTAAACGAGGAGTACCGTGCTCGAACGCGCACCTTCAGCTCGTTGGATACATTTACCGTCACCACAGCTAAATGCTCCCGTTCTGGTAAAGACACCGTCAACAAGGATGGAGAACTTCAGCGACTTAGGGAAATGCTAGACATGGTACGTAGTCAGAAGCCAGATAAAAGTGGTGATGGTGATGGTGATGGCGGGGTTAGCAGGGGAGGGGAGGGGGGCTAGCATATTGGGGAAAGGAGGGCAGAAGACTATTGTGGCCCGGGTACGATTTCTCCGACCTAAGGTCACTTCTGGGTTTAGTGCGTTGTTGGTTCTCGTCCTTTGCTTTCTTCCCTCCAAAAAACTCTTAAAGTTCGAATTCTATCTCGGGAACAATGGACGAAGGCAAACTGTTCGTTTACCCAACCTCGTGTTTCTCCATAAACCTAGTGGTATGGTCTGCCGGCAGGGGCTAATATTGTCGAAATGAGTGTTCTGTTTGAATTTTATTCACAGCTTCAACGAGAAAAGAAAAGAATAAGTCACAGCAATGGAACCAGCATGACCACGCAACTGTAAGATGAATCTTAGACTGCACTGAACACATACTGACAATGTCACCCAGCTAGCTCGTGACTACATTTTCGTTGAGAAGTATGACGAGAGACTTAGATGATCGTATTGTCATCAGGATAAGTTTGCGGTTTCTTTGTTCTTCAAAAACTCATTAATAATTCATAAGCCCATTAACCTATCAAATGGTAGATAATACATCACGTGCAGTGACTTTATATCGATAAACCTCATCTTTATTTTTATGTGGTGTTTTATCAGATATAAAGACACTGCACGTGACTTATGAATATTAATTTATTATCAACACAGAAACTGACAAAACAAATGGTGGGAACATATTAAATGTTCTTTCAACAAATTTCACACAGTAAATTTACTTTTGCACCAAATTAATAGTACAGTTGTGAAATACACATCTGGAAAAATTCTCTATTCCATTAGTACAGTAATCTGGTAAAGGCATATTAGACAATACATCATCTGAAATTGGAACAGGACGCCATGTCCTCTTCGGTTAGTAGAAGAAAAGTACAAAACACGTGTGAGATTTGATTTTCTTGCATACTAATTTAATCCCTAATGTTTTTCTCGTATGCTAATTTCTAACGTTCACAAAAGCATAATTGTTATGAACTCTCTTGACACACGCTTTTCCAAGAATGTTTTTGAAGCCGTTCAAAAAACTCGCAGCACGTGTTTTATCGGGTCAAAAACCACTCAGCTACGCCTCGTGGTTTTAAACCCGATAAAACACTCCTGCTCGTTTTTTAAACATTACATGAACTAGCTGTTAAAGACCGTCTCGTTAATAAACACCACTTAATCTAAACATCAATAGGAAGAATAAGTTGGCGAATTTTCGACTCACATAGAAAAATTGTAGTAAACTGTAAATTGTACTTCTCGGGATGATGAATAGCAGATAATATTCTTTCTTCAGAAGTTAAGTTACACTTCCAAGCAAAGAGAGATCATACATTCCAGTATTGTGATATGTGAATTTTAATTAGTTTGAAATCATTTTAGATAAGATTCTACCGATTAAAATTAGGGCTCTTACAATTTAATTGAGGGTCTCAATGGGGTTTAAGCCGTAAAACAGTTTAAAAATGTGCTAGTTAGACGTAAAAATTGACAAATTTTAACCGTTAGTCGAAAAAAAAGTGAAAATTCATTTTTCGTTTAATGGAAGGAAATTGACTGTTAGCCGTAAAAATGGCCAAAAATTTCAACCGTTAGCCGTTTAATCTATACCCTCCTGGAGACTCCCTTAATATTCTATATAATTCTAAATTAATTTCCAACCATTACAAAAATAGCTTAAAATATATCGCACGTGCAGATAGTCGAAGTGTCAGAGCATGGTGTTTTTATACCTAACAATTGTGATCTAAGGATCTCTCCTAACTTGTTCTAAAGTTTATTGAGGATATTTATACCGTTTAGCCCCTTAACCCTTTAGAAGACAAGCATCTAGTTTCTCCTAACAGCATCAATGCGGAATCAAACATTAAAGACTTGAGACTAAAGTAAAGAACGGCTCAAAGTCAGTATCGGAGTAACTGCGCACCTACCCCTTCCCAAACCCAACATCAACCCTAAGTTGTTAATCGTTGCTGGGTTAGGGGAAGGGTAGGTGCACACTTGTTCCAATACTGGCAGTGATCCGAAATAATCGCTAACTGTGCACCTACCCTTCCTGTTATCAGTTGACTGTTGTTGGGTTAGGGGAGGGGTAGGTGCGCACTTGCTCCGATACTGGCTAACAAATAATCGCTAAATAATGAACATTAAAAATTTCTCCTTGTCACAGCCAAAGGAAATTTGTAGAAACCAGCATGGAGAATTTGCATGCTGATGTTAGGGGGTAAAAAGTTAAGAAATGAAAACGAGAACCTCCTAGGTCTAGCCCCCCCCTCTCCTAAGAAACGAGGCTGTAATTCTTCTCTGAAAGAAAACTGTCGTTACCATATTCCACCGCAATGCCGGTTAATTAAGAATCAATCGCTCTATATAGCTGAAAGGTCGGGTTAGAACGCACAACAGCCAATCCATAAATGTTCAATAATTAGGGAATAAATTACATCGACAAGAGATCTTCGCTGGATTTTGACAGCATTAACTCTTTAGCAGTTGTTTCAGTGGCCATTAGATGATTGACGTCACCAAAAAAATCTCGTCTCCTCACTGGTGTCTCAAACAAGATAGGGCTAGACCTTGACTCTGCTAATCTGTCAACAGGAAGAACGCATGTTTTTTTTTAAATGCACGTGCAAACGCTCCAAGTATTGAAGGCACCACCTGCTGCGTGAGTTTGAAAACCCACAAGGATTTATCAGCATTTAGTCCGAGAATTTGATTAGTCTTTCCCTTGACCCCTGGAGCGTACTTCAACAATTTTTAGAGAGGTTAACCATGACGGTTACGGGAAACGGCAAGAAGCTAAAACTAAACTCCTTTCCGGCTAATTTCAGACCCTTTTTTAATCTGTATTAATCGCGAGTAGAAAAGTTTAAATAATGGAAAAGTTAACATCAGAATTGATTTTTGCCCTTTGTCGCGGCCGTAAACGCCATGTCTACTCATTAATGTTGGGCTTCACGTGCGCCGAGCACGCACAAAGTCCAAAGCCGTGATGAGGAGACTTTATCAGTCTCCCAATACCCCACTACTAAAGAGGCTCCCTTGAAATGGTTTGTGCAAGCAGGAGCCACTTGAGCTCCTAGTGTAAGTGGGTGCATTTCGTAGTCTGCGCCACTAATTACCCAAAAACTTTCACCGATGTTGCACCAGTAGTTAATTGCGAGTGTTAATTAAGACCTTAACTTAGCAAACAAACGTTTTCTCGAAACTGAGGTATTGTCCATTTATTTTCTGATATGCTTGTTTTTTATAAGTCTTTAATACCAGAGCGTCACTAAACGCAAAAACAGAGAGATGCAGACAAACGAACAGAACAGGCAAATAAAATATATTTTAAACAAAGCAATCAAATCACTTAAAGTGAACTTACTTCGTAAATTCCGCGTCAAAGTCGTCGTCTTTTGCTGCAATGTCCTATTAATTGCAATGGTAAGTTAGACAGTGTATAAGCAAAATGGCTTAATCATAGTAGCAAATGCTAAAAAATGCTCCGTTTAGTTCAGCAAGTGCATTTTTAGCCGACTATCTAGATATACGACGCATAAGACAAGCAAACAAGTAAAAATTATAAGACAACATATTACCGAGAAGTGGTAACCCCCATGGGGTATTAACAAACTGTTGGGATTGCTTCGTACTTCCTTCATTTCGTTCTGTGATTTGTCAAGAAAATTCACGCCACTCTTTAAAGCGATCACATGAAAAACTAAAAGCTATGGAAACTTTGCTGCTCTAATCAGGTGGCTGGTCCACTTTCCTCTTGAGATCTTATTGTCTCGTTGTAATATTTCCTTTCCGTCTGATTGGCCTTAGTAATTACCTTGGTTTTGGTCTTACGATATTCAATCGAAAAGCGCTATAATCAGCTTCTCTCACAATAATAAACACGATATATTGACGCTAATAAAAACAATTACCAAGGCTTGCAGTTTATTACTGGAGTCATCCATTATACCCGAAGAGGAATCTGCAGATACGTGAATTTTTGGCGTGTTTACTCTATTTTCTTTGGGTATAGGGGTCGCGTATATGTCAACGTTTTCGTTTTGAATCACAGATGTGGCCTGTTCAGTATTCTCCTTGTTGTCCTGTGAGACTCGCGGACTCCCGTGATCCTTCTCGGGTTTTCCGTGTCCCGCTTTTTTCTCGTGGTTTTCATATGCAAGCTTAAAGGCATCAGCAATGGTCAGCGCCATGGCTTGAGCCTAAAAAATGTTATTAGTCATCATATGGTTAGTATTTCTTGTCATTCTACCTAATTAAAAGGTCTTAAAGCTTCAAGTAGTGCCAGAAGCACTTGGAAACCTTCCTAGTGATAAAACGCACTTCCTGATTTAAGAAGAACTCCCCCATGGCATCTTGGGTATGGGGACGGGAAGGGGGAGTGACAACAAGACGACCGGATAGGAAAAAAATTTCAATAACTTCGAAATAACAGTGTAGTGATCATTCCTTCTCTAAACAACATCCGCATAACTAAGAGAAAAAACACCGTACTCAATTTTATAAGAAGGTTATGGCAGTATCACTCAAGGGCTTTCTGAATGGAAAATAAGAAAGACCTAGTTCTGTCTTTCTTTGTAACCAAATCATCTTCATATTCTCGACTAAAAACCTCGATTTGCAAAATCGACATTTTCACGGATAGGAAAATTGGCAAGGAGATACCATTAACCCCCCTCCTTAAAACAAGGCAAAATAAATAAGGGAAAGAAAAACATTAGAAACAAGAACAACAACAGCAACAACAAATAATCCAAAGAACACTGAGAATAAATCAAGAGAACTATACCATTGCCGGTTTGCTGCACAGGAAAGCGTGGCACGTCAAATCTTGTTTGCCTTGTGATCGACAAATGAACGCAAACACTTTGGGAAAGGTTGGGTCGGCCACACAATATGAAACACTAGAAATTAGAAAAACACAAATGAAGAGATTTGAAAATTGGTGCACCTGAGAGTTCTTAGTAAAGCTACGAGCTACATAGGAAGAAAAGTAGGTATGTAAACGGTGTCGCGTTAAAGAAGTATCAGAATAAAGTCAAAACCTAATATGGAAGCGATCTTGGCAGTTATGAACATTACGCAGTGGTGAAAATAAGGCCTGAAAAAAAAAACTCAGGCCTGTACGGGATTTGAACCCATGACCTTTATGATACCGGTGCAGCGCTCTATCAACTGAAGCTAACAAGCCAACTGAGAGCTGGTCATTATGTTGGTTCCAAATAAACTCCCGGAGTGGTGAATAAATGACTGTAAATATATGAATGTCGTATATGTGAACTGCGGTTGAAGAAGCGAATATGGAAGCGATCCTCACAGTTATATGAACACTAATTATGCAGTTCACATATCCTATATTCAGGCCTTATTTTCAATACTACTTAAGTAGTGTCCATAACTGTGAGGATCGCTTCCATATTCGTTTCTTCAACCGCAGTTCACATACATGATTTTCATATATTTACAGTCATTGAAGTCAAAACCTGTGTACGGAGAGGATGGGAAGAGGAAATGTGGGGAGTAATCATCAGAGGAGAACTCCAACTTGTTTAAGAATTCTAGCCTGCGAACAAACCTTCATTATCAACGCTGCAGGACGTGCGTTTTTCTGTCCGCAGGAAAGATTTG